ACCTGGCTCAGCTGTGTGACCTTGGGCCAGTCTCTTGCCCTCTCTGGTCCTCAGCATTACCTTCTGTTAAATGAAGCTATTGAACAAAGGTCCAGTAGTGGAACTCTCAAGAGATGGGCGACCGGGCGCGGTGGCTCACGCCTGTAATCCCAGTACTTTGGGAGGCCGAGGCTGGTGGATCACGAGGTCAAGAGATCGAGACCATCCTGGTCAACATGGTGAAACCCCGTCTCTACTAAAAATACAAAAATTAGCTGGGCATGGTGGCGTGTGCCTGTAATCCCAGCTACTCAGGAGGCTGAGGCAGGAGAATTGCCTGAACCCAGGAGGCGGAGGTTGGGGTGAGCCGAGATCGTGCCATTGCACTCCAGCCTGGATAACAAGAGAGAAACTCTGTCTCAAAAAAAAAAAAAAAAAAAAAAAAAAAAAAAGAGATAGGCACATCTGGGAAGGGTGCCCTTCCCCCTAGCTCCCTTCATCCTTCATAAGAATAGGTTTTCCCTGGCCCAAGTCATTTTGGCCAATGGATTTCCCAAGGCTTCCATCCCTTTCATGAGATGACAATTTGTTTCTTTCTTTTTTCTTCAATCTCATAGGAGCTTTTAAAGGTTTACAAGTTGTTACTAAAGTAACAAGTTAAACAATTCAGAGATATATTAAGACAAAGTCAATCATTTTTCCCTCCCTCTTAGCCATTCCCAGCCCACTTCTCCACACTCCAGCCTCTTCTTTCCCAATCAGACAAGAGTCTGGTATTCGATCCCTTCACATCATTTCTCTGCCCAGACAAACACAGACATCCTTCATATGGTTTAGTCCGTCCCCCTTCTCCTTTTCCTTTTTCGTTTCTCTTTGCTTTTCTTTCTTTTTTATTTTTATTACTTTTTTTTTTTGAGATGGAGTCTCACTCGGTCACCCAGGCTGGAGTGCAGTGGCATGATCTTGACTCACTACAACCTCCGCCTGCCGGGTTCAAGCGATTCTCCTGCCTCAGCCTCCTGAACAGTTGGGATTACAGGCCCATGCCACCACACCCAGCTAACTTTTGTATTTTTAGTAGAGACAATGTTTCACCATGTTGGCCAGGCTGGTCTTGAACTCCTGGTCTCAAGTGAGCCACTCACCTCAGCCTCCCAAAGTGCTGGAATTATAAGTGTGAGCCACCTCACCTGACTTCTTTGCTACTTTTCTTACAAAAGGGAATCATATGAAACACTTAACTCTGCAGCCCTTTTTTTACCTAATGATAAGGCAGAGCTGTTTCTCCAGCCACTGGGATCTGCCACACCCTTTTGAGTAATAGTAATGGCTATCATTTGTAGAGTGTGTGTATTGAGCTGGAGCTGTGCTTCCAGGCTCCAACACTAACCAATCGAAACCTCGCAACATCCAACAAAACATGTCAAATGGTTGTAGATGAGGAAACTGAGGCTCAAGACAGGCTCCAGCTGCCAGGGGCCTCAAAACCAGTGCCCCGTTAGGGCCATCAACAGACAGAGATGGGAGATGATATAATATAGGTTATTCACCACAGGTGTTTAGGCTAAAACAGTAATGTTGCTCTAAACATCCTGGTAAATAGACCCTTGCAGACTGGAGCTTTAATTCTGTATAATGTAATTGAAAGCGGACCAGAGGGGATACATGTGTTTTATTTTAATAGCTAAAGTCCAATTAACTGCCAAAAGGGTTGTAGCAATTCATAGCCTCATCAGCATAATGTCTTATTTTTGTGGTTTTATTTCTCAGAGCTAGAAGGGTCCTTGGAGAGCATCTAGCCCAGCTCTCTCCTCTTGCTGATAAGGAAACAGGCCCAGTGACAGGAAGGGACTCAACAAGGACCCAAGCAGGCTAGAGGCAGGGGGAGGTTCTTGTCCACCTTTCCTGGGCCACTGCCCCATCCTCTTCCCTCTGGCTGCCCCTGCCTTGGCTGTCTCTCCTCTCCTGTCCACTCTCTACGCTGCGCTTGGGATCACATCACTACCCTGCTCATTACATCTCCCCTAGCTTAAGCGATGACCACAGACTCAAGTCACAGCTTCTTCATAGGCATTCAAAGCCCATCCCAGTCTTTTCCCTGGTGTGTCTCCTATCATCCAAACCAGCCACTAAATCTTGAGTACTGTCTGTCCTCAGAACATCTCACTCCCTTCATGCCATTTGGACAGAGCTGCCTTTTGCTCTTCAAAGCTTGACTGTTTCCTATTCATCTTTCAAAGCCAAGTGCAAAGGCTGCCTCTGCAATGGTGCCTTCCCTGACTGTCCAGCCTTCCAACCCTGGGCAGTCAGTTATCTGTGTTCTGCAGCAAGGTGCCCTGCCTCCACCCTTCCTGGCTGCTTCCTCCAGGAGGTCATGTGTTGCAGAAGAACCAGCCGGGAGGGGGCAGTGCACAACCAAAGAACGGCCCCTCAAAAGGTCAAGGTCACCAGGGCGCCTGGGGCCTGCCCAGCTGGACATCTGTGGATATCAGGTTCCACCCCAGGGGCAGGACCTCTGGTGAGCTCCACCCCTCCATGGGCCTCGGTGTGCATCTCTGTGCAACGGCAGGGTTGGACGAGCTCAGTGTTTCTCAAAGCGTGGTGATGCACAGTGACTTCAAGAGATAAGATGGACATTTTAAAATGGAAATCATTATGTATTTATTTTAATGTGTATTAGACAAAAAATAACTAGCACATCAAACCTGTTATTTCGCAGATATTATTGCTAAGAATGGGGCTAAAGTAGGCATTCAAGTAAAAAACAGTGAGTCAATGTAAAAGAAAGTACCAATTAAATAATATACAGGTGGTAAGACAGCAGTGAATGGCTGCAATCTGGAGAACGTTTGTCCGCTTTTGTTGCTCTAGAATGCTGTGATTTGCAGACTCCTGCCTTTGGTAGGGGTGGAGACAGGGAGAAGGAGCTGGCCCAGGGCTGGGAGGCTGAGCCTTGGGCAGAGGGTCAGGAATTCAGCAGATGGGCCATGTGCCCCTGCCCTCCCAGACCCTCCTCTACCTGTGGAGGGTACAATGCTGACTCCCCCTCCTGCCTTCTTTCTCAGCTTCCCTGCGGTTACTAAGGAGTGGGAGGCTGAAAGGGGCCTCATTCTGGAAGCTCATCTGCTCCCTCATTCTCACCCAGCACCCTGCTTGGCATAAACTATTCAGGGTGATGATTAACAAGGATGCAGGAAGGCACTGGGGGTGGGGAGAGAAAATAGGCGATGTGGACAGAGTTTGCTCACATACCTGAATCTCCAATCTGCCACGACTGTCTAATGATTCCCAGGCTTAGCTGTGCATTGGAATCATCCTCCTAGTCAATGGAAATACAATTCCAAGGACTCACCTCAAGCAACATCTGGTTTGGGACCCCCACATCTGGGCTTCTAAAATCTCTCTAGTGAATTCTGAGGCTTTGAGGTTTCAAACCACACACCTCCCTCGATGTACCTGTGGAGACTACTCAGAGAGGTTGTGTTACTTACTCAAAGTCACCCAGCAGTTGTCCTGACTCCCAGCTCAGTTTTTCTGAGTGTCCCTTGTTAAGCCTAGTCCATGGTTAGCAAAGACAACTCCACTGACAAAAGTGGTAGTGTTTCTTTGAGTCTCCTTTCCTCTGGGCTTGTCAAGGACTTTCTACAGAAGAAAACAGGCTGTGTGAGCTACCATTTGCTGAGAAGGCCAGAGGGGTGGCAAGGGATGGTGGTGGGAGAGGGTGGAGGGAGATGTCAGTGGAGGGGGTGGCTGGGAGACGTGGCCTCCTCTCACAGTTGCCAGCCTGCCCAGTCAGCCTGCTGCGGGCAGGAGCTAGTTCACATGTATGCCACCAGCCCTTGGATTTTCCCATGGGATTCTTAAAGAAGAGAATTTGGGCCAATGAATGGGAAGTTAATTCCAGATGAAACTCTCAAACAGTGCTCAGTGACCTGAAAGACAATTGACCTTAGAGGAACTGCCCAGCTCCCTGATTTTTAAAATCTAAGATATTTGGCCTGTGAAAAATGCAGGGACATATACATACAGTTCCATGTTCTCATGATCTTGATTTCTTTCTTTCTTTCTTTCTTTCTTTCTTTCTTTCTTTCTTTCTTTCTTTCTTTCTTTCTTTCTTTCTTTCTTTCTTTCTTTTTGAGACAGAGTCTCACTCTGTTGCCCAGGCTGGAGTGCAATGGCATGATCTTGGCTCACTGCAACCTCTGCCTCCCAGGTTCAAGCGATTCTCCTGCCTCAGCCTCCCAAGGAGCTGGGATTACAGGTATGAGTCACCATGTCCGGCTAATTTTGTGTTTTTAGTAGAGATGGGGTTTCACCAGGTTAGCCAGGCAGTCTCGAACTTCTGACCTCTGGTGATCCAAACACCTCAGCTTCCCAGAGTGCTGAGATTACAGGCATGGAACCACCATGCTCCGCCTAGAGTTCTTTTCCTTAATTTTTTTTTTTTTAGAGGCAAGTGTTTTGTTCTGCTGTCTTCCTCCAGATTAACTGGGATTACAGGCACACACTACCATGCCCAGCTAATTTTTAGAAACTTTTTGTAGAAACAGGATCTTGCTTTGTTGTCCAGGCTAGTCTCGATCTCCTGGCTTCTAGTAATCCTCCTTCTGCCTTGGCCTCCTAAAATGCTGGGATAAAAGGTGTGAGCCACAGCGGCCGGCCTAGATTGTGAAATAAGACATTTCAAATAAATAAGAGTGTCTCCGTTCATTTTCCTTCCCTTTGCCCAGAGATAGTCACCAGCTCATTCCCTGAAGTTGGCATGAGTTGTTTCTAAACATGTTTATGTATATGCTATACAGGTATTCATTCATAAAACATGGAAAGCGTTGCTTTGTAGCTTTCAACTTTTTGTAAATGGCATAATATTGTGCATTGCCTTCTGCAACTTGCTTGTTTTCATTCAACATTGTGTTTGACATGCAGAGCACCAGTATACATATCTCCACTGTTCGATCCATTTCATTGTAGGCATGTACTATAGTTTATCAATCCATTCTCCTGTTGATGGGCAGTTGGGTGATGTCCAGTTTTCCACAATAAAAACCGCACTGCCGTGACCATACACGTGTGTGCCTTGCATATGCCTGGGGAGGAGTGGCCGGGTGTGTGAGCATCTTGGGGCTCCCTGCTGTATCTGAAAGGGTGAGTTTCTGTGGCTCCACATCCAGACTCAAGCTGGCAATAGTCAGACTTTGAAATGTTTGTCGCTCTGATGGGGGCCCAATGTCTCTCATTCTTGTTTTTAAGTTCTCTGTCTCTGATCAGTGGAGTTAAACAGTTTTCGTAATTGTGCTGGTGGTTTGGATTCTTTTCCTCCTCTGTGGATTGCCTCTTTACCCTCTGTCCGTGTTTCCATGGTGCTGTTTGTGTCTTTCTTATTGATTTGCAGGAGCTCTAATCCTGTGGTCTGCTGTGACTCTCTTTTGCCAGTGTGTGGATTGTTTTCACTTTATTTATGCAGCCTTGCGATGCACAAAGGCTTTAGGCTTGAATATAATGAACTGCATCAATGTCTTCCTCTACGGCTTGGGATTATGCAGTCCAAAGGAAGCTGAGGCCATTTCTTGGCTTGGCACCCTCCTCAGGAGGCTTTGATCTCAGGTGGAATGTTAGGAGCATGGGCTTTAGAGCAGGGCCCACTAGGGTTGAAATTCAGGCTGGGTGATTTACAGGCTGGCGAACTTGGGGTAAAAACATATTTTACCTCTGGGTTTCAGCTTCTTTACTTGTAAAATAAGGATGAGAACTATCTTGAGCTCTCAAGGATGCTATGAAGCTAGAGGGAGCAGGCCAGTGCACAGCGGGGCGTCTTGAAATCCCCCAGGGAGAGGGGGGATTCACTGAGAAAAGTCTCAGAAGACACTGTTCCCTGAGAGCTACCCAGTGTGGTTATCCTAATCTTGCCTGGCCTCAAGGGCTCAAAGCAATATCTCCAAATCTAACTTTGCATCTGCAAGTGGAGCTGGGTCTCTGGAGGAGCTGAGGCATGCGAGACATGAGACACCAGTCCCCTTCCTCTCCGTCCCACCCATGGCCCTGGGTTCTGAGCTGTTCCTGGGTCCATGGTTGATGACTCCGGAGGCAGGAACTTCCGGAAGTGGCATTTGTGATGTCTCCAGAAAACAAGATGACAGGGAATGTATCCCATGGCCTCCATACACCACGGCCACTCAAAGCTGCCCAGTCACCCTGGCAGCAGGGTTGGGAGGACATCTGCAGCCTCCAAGGAAAATATTTGTCTGGAGAAAGAAAAGGACACACGTGCCCATTCACTTTCACTCACTGTGACCACATGTCAGCCCACACAAGCAGGTCTCTTGAGGCCATGGCACGGGGGTACTCCATCACCTCTGAGCAGTTCATCCTGGGCACAGAATACACAGGAACAGGTTTGGGGGTAAGGTGGGCAGAGGTCTCTGGGACCAGCAGCCTCCTGGACAAAGCCACAGAGCCCATGGCCAATAGGGCTGGACGATGCCTCCTTCTTCCTTCCACTTACTGACCTCGAGTCACCCTACCATCACCACTTCTGAAGGGTCAGCCTGCTCACATGGCCAGAGCACTGGATGCCAGTGAAGAATGTAGTTCAAAATTGAAGACTATTTTTGGAGTAGGCGAGACATACTCATGATACAAACATGTAAAGGTATGCAAAGGGTACAGAGAAAAGGCCACCCACCCTCTGTTCCCCAGCTTCTCAGTTATCTTCCCAGGAGGAAGCAATATTACCAGAGCTGAGATATGACTGTGCATAAGCACATGCACACACACACGCACACACACACGCACACACACACACACACACGCACACCCGCACCCGCACGGACTCACGCACACGCGCGCGCACACACGCACGCACACGTTCACACACACGCATGCACACACGGACGCACACGCATGCACACACGTGCACACGCACACACACATGCACACGGACACGCACACACACGCGCGCACACACACACACAATATTGATGGTAGTACATTATATACACCAAGGTAAACTTTGCTTAATTTTTCACCCCAACCTCTCTCCCGCAAATTTAGGGCCTGGAACATAACAGGCGAGAGTAAATGCAGAACAGATGGATTCGTGGATGAGGTGGAGGAAGGATGAGCCACGTCCATCCAGGTGCAGGCTTTTTCTACTCTGTGTTTTGAGACTCATCCGTCCCTGGGAGGATCCCGCTCCTTTGGTATGTTGCTGCAGGTGGGCAAATTCAGGCCGTCTTGACCCTGGCACAGAGCCACAATGGGGGAACTAAGTGAACCAGGCGGCTGAACAGCTTAATTGTCATTTCCACCAGCAGATGGTTACCAGGGAAACTCAAAGAATGTTAGAACCGGGAGGGGTTTTCAGGCAATGTGGAGGCAGCATGATAGAATCTCAGAATGGGAAGGGGGACGGTTCCAACAAGTGCTTCAAGAGTTTAATTTTTAATTTTCATTTCAATGATAATCTAAAATAATTAAACATTTTAGCCGGGCACAGTGGCTCACGCCTGTAATCCTAGCACTTTGGGAGCCTGTGGTGGACGAATTGCCTGAGCTCAGGAGTTCGAGACCAGCCTGGGTAACACGGTGAAAGCCCATCTCTACTAAAATACAAAAAATTAGTTGGGCATGGCAACATGCACCTGTAATCCCAGCTATTCAGGAGGCTGACACAGAAGAATTGCTTGAACTTGGGAGGTAGAGGCTGTAGTGAGCCGAGATCGCACCACTGCACTCCAGCCTGGGAGACAGAGCGAGACTCCATCTCTTAAAAAAAAAAAATTTTTTTTAGGCCAGGCGGGGTGCCTCACACATGTAATCCCAGGACTTTGGGGAGGCTGAGGTGGTGGGTCACCTGAGGTTGAGGTCAGGAATTCAAGACCAGCCTGACTAACATGATGAAACCTGCCTCAAATAAAATACAAAATTAGCCAGCTGTAGTGGTGGGCGCCTGTAATCCCAGCTACTTGGGAGGCTGGGGCAGGAGAATTGCTCCAACCCGGGAGGCAGAAGTTGCAGTGAGCAGAGGTCACATCATTGCACTCCAGCCTGGGCAACAAGAGTGAAACTCGGTCTCAGAAAAAAGTTGTATTTATGGATCATTTAAGCATCTGCCTTATAACATTGTGTAGACATGTGATTTCAGTGCTGTGTTGATGCTTGTGTCTGTGATCACATTGATGCTGGGATCATCAATGATTTCACAGCCACCTGAATAAACTAAGATTTTGCTGTAGATTAAATTTCTTTGTCTTCAAACTCCTAAGATTTCTGGACATGTTCTTAGGGCCAGTGAGAATGGTTTTGGAGGCATCAGTATGTTACTCAAGTATGAGAAACCCTGGTGAGGACAAAAGGACCCCATGCAAGAGTTAGGAGCCTGGATTCAGCTCCTATCTCTGCCTCTTATGAGTTGGGTCACTTGGACTCTTCTGTCTCTTCTGCTTTAATTTCTCCTCCAATAAAATACGATCAAAATGCCTTCTTCACAGCATATTATGAACAAAAACTGCGATAGTGAAAGTTCTGACTTTATAAGCATCAAGAATTTCGTGTTATAAAGGAGGGAAGCAAGACCTAAGAGGTGAAAGGACTTTCCCGATATCAAACCATCATTGGCAGAGCTGGGCTGGGAGCTCGGGCTTCTAACCCTCCGTTGCCCTGGGCACATTGGCCACTAGCAGTAATGGTTCGACTAATTCTGGAAAGCGTAATAACATCTCAGGTGGGGCCTGTTGCTATTTGGGCAAATATGCTATCTTTATTTTTATTCATTAAGGAGATTAAATTAGGGAAGCCAAACAAATAAATAAGCACATTGAATTTCCCACAGCTATACCTCTCTTCCCGGAGCAAAAACAAACTCTTTCCTCAGGCAGAAGGTCAGACAGGGGGCATGTGGGGACAAAACACCCAGGCGCTACAGTGCCAGCCTCCTGGCTTTGCTGTTTTGCTGGGTTGAAGGGCCACTGAGCCAGGCGTGCGGGCTTCATGTCAGCACCCGGCTGCTCTGAGGAATGTGTTTCAGGGTTGGGGGCGCCCAGGGCAGGCTGAGAGATCCAGAAAGCAGGGACTGTGTCTGGCTACTGCTGTTCCTCCCAAGCTCAGCTCGGTGCCTTGCACATATGGGTGTGCAATCAATATTTAAAGAATAAGGTCAGGTGAGGTGGCTCACGCCTATAATCCTAGCACTTTGGGAGCCCAGGCAGGTGGATTGCCTGAGCTCAGGAGTTTGAGACCAGTCTGGGCAACATGTCGAAACCCATCTCTACTAAAAAGACAAAAAAAATTGGCCGGGCATAGTGGCGCATGCCTGTAATCCCAGTTACGCAGGAGGCTGAGGCAGGAGAATCGCTTTAACTCAGGAGGCAGACATTGCAATGAGCCAAGATCATGCTGCTGCACTCCAGCATAAGGGACAGAGCAAGACTCCAACTCAAAAAAAAAAAAAAAAAAAAAAAAAAAAAAAAAAAAAAAAAAAATTAAGGAATCACAGAAGGAAGGAATGACTAGAGTTGCAGTGTTTGTGTTTAAATATTTGGAGTGGTCTCAGAGATGTATCTTACAAATCCAGGTTCAAAATCAGGAAATCAGGAAATCAGGAAACAAGGGCTCTCAGGGCAAAATGATCTGGTCTGGATTTCAGGAATCAGGGAGATAAGTGGGAAGTGAGGCCTAGTGCAGAGGCTGAAGTCAGTCACAACAGATTGATTGACTGCTTTGCTGGATCACAGTCTATTCACTGAGCATTTTCCTGTGTGTTGCAGGGGAATCCCAAGTGGAAAAAAGTCCCATACACCAAGATATGGTAATATGCCTGTAGTGGCGAAGAAGCGATTGGGCTTTGAAATCACACAGACATGAGCTCAAACCCTAGCTCTACAATAGATGACATCGGGCAAGTTACATTACTTCTCTATGTTTCATTTTCCTTACTTGGAAAATGGGATGAAGAATGCTAACTGCTACCTTGGATGGTAAATAAGACACAACCTAAGGCACAGAGTGTGCATGACCATCTGCCTGGGCCTGGATCCTACTGGAAAATGATCCCATCTTGGATCACGATGTCAGGAGTTCAAGATCACCCTGATCAACATAGTGAAACCCTGTCTCTACTAAAAATACAAAAATTAGTGAGGTGTGGTGGCAGCACCTGTAGTCCCAGCTAGTTGGGAGGCTGAGACAGGAGAATTGCTTGAACCTGGGAGGCAGAGGTTGTAGTGAGCTGAGACCCTGCCATCGCACTCCAGCCTGGGTAACAGAGTGAGACTCTGTCAAAAAAAAAAAAAAGGAAGGAAGGATGGAAGGAAAGGAGGGAGGGTGGGAGGGAGGGAGGGAAAAAAAGACAGACAGACAGAAAGAAAGAAAGAAAGAAAGAGAAAGAAAGAAGGGAAGGAAGGAAGGAAGGAAGGAAGGAAGGAAGGAAGGAAATGAGCCCATCTCTTCTGCCTGCCCTGAACCTGCAGGAGCTTCTCTAAGCTGACAGAAGGAAGCAGCTTGGATGGGCATCTCCCTTCCGTGGACCTGAGGTTATTTATATTTGTTTGGTTATTGTGGTGGTTGTGGTTACTGCTGTTTCTATTAACAACATTGATTCTATGAATAACCTTGTGCATTCCTCTTGGTGCACATGAGGAAGGGTTTCTCTAGGGTGGACACAATAACAATAAACAACCGGAGAGGCAGAGGCGAGGGCACTGAGCAATCAGAACGGATGCTGTGGAGCTGGAATGTGGTCCTGGGAGTAGTCGATGCGGTATTAACCTTTTAGTTGCTGGATTGTAGGGAGTTTGGGTGGGTACCTAAGAGAGACACTGGGAGCAGTTGGATCACAGGGAGTCACATGGTAAAAGAGTGGGGGAGACTTGAAATAGTAGCTATTTACCAACTGGCATGGAGGTATTTCAAGATTCTAACAACCTGTGTGGTCACAATGGTAAGCATGGGTGTGTATGTTCCTGGGAGTCTATGTTGCCTAGGAGTGGAACTGTGAGGCTGCAGGGAGTGATCGTTCAGCGTTACAAGATCATACTGGATGATTTTCCAAGTCACTGATTCCCATAGACATTCCTTCAAGCAGTGTATAAGCATCTAGTTGATCCACATCCTTGACAACACTTGGTATTGTCAGGGTCCTTAATTTCTTGCCAATCCAGCGGGTATAAAAGGATCTCATAATGGTCTCAATTTGCATCTCTCTGAATTCTAATGAAGTTGAACATCTTTTCATATGTTTATGGGCCTAGAGCTGTTTGCTTAAAAGTCCTGGGTCCTGTATGCATTAAATATGTGCAGTTTTTACATATAATCTACACCTTAATAAAGCCATTAAAACACACACACACACACACACACACACCCCAAAGGCCTATAATTTCATCCCTAATACTACGGCTAACAGTAGGTGCTCAATAACATTGAATTTTAAAAAAGCGGGGAGCCTGGTTCCCTCGTACCAGTGAACATTCCACTACATGCCTTGGACCGCAGCCAGGTAGGGTGGTAAGAGCACTGGACAGGGAGCCAGGATACCTGGGTTCTAGCCTCAGGTTGGCCACATCATTACTCTGTGGCCTTAGGCAAGGCGCATTGTGTTTTCTGACCCTCACATTTATAATTGGCCAAGTTGGGGAGAGGCTTAGTCTGCTCACAGGGAGAGCAGTTAAGGAATCAAGTGAGATCGTGAAAATGGATGTGTTTTGGGGACTCAAAAATCCTGCAGCAATCAGGGATTAGTGTTCCCTCTTTGAAGACAATTTAAGAAGGCTCTGGAGCCCAGGGGAGCAGGAGCAGCCAGCCAGCCTCCAGCAGGCAGACAGCATCAGCACCAAGGCTTAAACACACATCTTCTTCCTTTACACAGCCCTCATCTCCAGGTACGCGTCAAGCAGGGAAGGAACAAAACTCCATTAATTCCTGGCCTAAGTGTGCCTTAGGCTATCCTGAGGATCCATGGGAACCAAAACTTGTGCCAGCCTGCTGTAATATGAAGACAGTGATCCCTTGGCACCTGGTCCTTTCCTGGGAGACCCGACCCTGCAGGCTGTTGGACCCACAGGCAGCCACAAGCTTAGCTCCTTAGGCCAAGATGCAGCAATGTGGCCAAGCCATCAGGCCTAATATGTAGGCACATGGCTCTGTCCTCTGTTCCTCTGGCCCCACATGCCTCACTTGGTCAATGGCAGGAGTGTTAACGACAGAGGCATTTCTGAAAGCATGTGCTGTGGGACACTCCCCACTGTGGATGATGGTTAAGTGGGGGTGGAGGAGGCATGGATAGGGGAAGTTTCTGTGGTCAGATGGAAACATTGAGTAAAATTATTTATGCAGCTAATATTTACTGATTGTGTCAGATGCTGGGCTAGGCATTTAATAAACATTGTCCCTTGACTTTTTTTTTTTCTTCCTGAGATGGAGTTTTGCTCTGTTGCCCAGGCCGGAGTACAGTGGCTCATCACAACCTCCGCCTCCTGGGTTCAAGCCTTTCTCCTGCTTCAGCCTCCTGAGTAGCTGGGATTACAGGAGCATGCCACCACACCCAGCCAATTTTTGATTTTTAGTAAAGATGGGGTTTTGCCATGTTGGCCAGCCTGGTTTCGAACTCCTGATGTCAAGTGATCCAAAGTGCTGGGATTACGGGCATGTGGCTCTATGCTGGCCATTCCTTGACTTCTTATAGTAACCTTAGGAAGCAGGAACTATGACTGGCTCCATTTTACAGTTAAGGAAACAGGCTCTGCAAGGTTAATGATTTGTCCAAGGATCCCTCAACTGATAAGTGGCAGAGCCATGATTCAAACCTAGGCAGCCTGTCTCCAGATCTCTCATTCTTTACCAGGTTGAATGAACAGGACTTGCTGACTGGTCAGAGCATGGGGGCTTGGGGAAAGAGAGGGAAGCATTCATGTATCTTTCTTTGATTCAGCTCAGTGTCAGTGTCCTGGCAGCTGGTAGAGGCAAGCAAGAGAAGAAAAAGGCCCCATGTCTACCCTCCCAGAAAGAACTTCAGGTAACGAGGTAAGTTCAGACGAGCACGGAGGCACACCGAGGTGGGTTTTGGGAGACAAGTCTTTCTAGTGCGGTCTCTTCCAAGCCAAGACTTAAGGGACCATCAACCACAGGAAGATCTGGGGAAAGGGAGCATCAGGCAGAGAAAATGGCATGTGCAAAGGCCAGGAGGTAAGGGAGAGCATGTCAAATCACCTACTTAGCTGATTGAGGGGGCGGGGCATGGGAGGTGAGGCCAGATGTCAGAAGAGGCCTTAACTTTTTTTTTTTTTCTGAGACAGGGTAATGCTCTGTCACCCAGGCAGGAGTGCAGTGTCATGATCATAGCTTGCTAGATCCTAGAACTCCCAGGCTCAGGTGATTCTCCTACCTCAGCCTCCCAAGTAGCTGGAACTACAGGCATGCTCACCACACCCAGCTAACTTTTGTATTTTTGTAGAGATGGGGTCTTGTCATGTTGCTCAGGCTGGTCTCAAATTCCTGGGCTCAAGTGATCCACCCACCTCGGCCTCCCAAAGTGCTGAGATTACTTGTGTGAGTCACTGCGCTGGCCCAAGGCCTCACCTTTGAGGCTTCTAGATTGGCATGGAACAAAGGAGGGATGAGAATGTTGTGAAAGTACCAAGAACAGTGGAGCTGCTGGCTGAAACTGGAAACGTGAGCAGAGGAGCGAGTGAGGGGCGGAGGAGGTGGCAATAATGAGCTTGGCGTTGGCCCTGATTTTCAGGGGGTCTCTGCTAACGTCTGTCCCAGTGCTGATCTTCTGAATGTCCCTGGAAGGAAGGAACATCTCACTGTGGCCCCTCCACCCCCAAATATTCTGGGCAGGAAGGAGCAGGAACTGTTTTGTCAACGCAGCTTGCAATAAAGAGTCTCATTCAGAGAGGCAAACAGCTGCTTGACTATTAATAGGCAGGGCGGCAGCCACAGCCTGCTGGGAGGGCCTCCGCATGCAGTTCTGAAAAGGTGAATCGGTTCCTTCTGCCTGTCTGGGTTTTAGGTGCGTATTCCTCAGAAGGTCAGTCACCCCCAGTCGTTTCTCGGGGCAGCTTAGGAGCTATGTGGCCTGACCCTGATGGGATGCTGACTCCCCCTCAGACAGGAGGAGAGCAGGTCCAGAGTCCCCAGAGCTGACCAGAGCAGCAGGAATCCAGGGAGCTGGGGTTGGGGGTGATGTTTGGGTGGGGTCTCACAGCTGCACCTGTGGAAAATCAGGCACCCACCCTTAAGGGGATCATGAAAGATCAGAGTTGGGTGGCTGGAAGGGAAAGGGGTTAGTCGAGAAACAGGAGGACTGATGAGAGGAACTGGGGATAGAGAGGGTGGAGGTAGAGCCTGGGGTCAGGGAGAACCATGAGGCATCCCTGATCACGAGCCAGGCCAGGCCAAGGGGAGCCTGGGAGTCCAGAAGTGAGAGGGCGAGGCCTAGGCAAGGCCACAGTCTCCTTCCAACCACCACCATCATGACGCATGACCTCACTGTGGCCTGGCCAGCCAGATCGCCCTTCTGAATGGGCCTGCAGAGAGGGTGGCTGGGAGCGAGCTAACAGCAACCCGACGGGCGCCATGGGCCCCACTGAGGCCAAGTCTTGCTGTGCTAGAGGCCCCGTGGCTGCAGCCCAAGTGGGCGCGGGGCTCACAGGCTCCTGTTGTTACCCGCCACTCAGGTGGCTGCTTCAGGTGGTGGCCACTTCAAAGAAGCCTCATTTAAAGCAGAGCCTCGCCTCAAGTTTCCTAAGGGCCCTGTCCAGGCTAATGAGATCATTAAGAGGCTCCTTGTTAAACGGGTTTAAATAGAGTTTGCCTGTAAGGCCTCTGGCTGAGCCCTGCGCCGCGGCTGTATTTTATTTTATTTTTTTTTAATGTATGTGTATTTGTACCTGTGTCTGCACTTAACAGCGTGCTGGAAAGTGTAGGCTCTGGCCTCAGATGGCAGGGAATCCTGGCCCTAGCGCTTTCTGGTATTGTGACCTCTGGCCAGTTACCTAACCACTCCTTGGTGCCTCAGTTTCCCATCTGTAAAAGCAGACTAATAACGGGTGCTGAATTGTACTGCGGAACCTTCGGTGGCTCCCCATTGCCCTCGGGGAGGTGTCCAGGTTCCTCAGAATGGTTAGACTTCCAACGGCTTGCCCTTGGCCTCCTCAACAGGTCCATGCCTCACACCTGCCTCCGTGATCACATGGACCAATCCTCTTGGTCCAGCCTTCTGTGTGCTGTTCATATGCTCCTTCCTTTCGCCGTCCTTGGCCTCACCCGTCTCCTTCAGGTCTCAGCTGAAGTGCTCTTCCCGGGAAGCCTCTGCTGATGGGCTGCACTGGTTCCAATGTGTCCGCCATGACGGTGCCCGCCACGCTGTGCGGTCATGCGCTGCTATTCTTGGCTTTCTGTACTTGATGGTAAACTCCATGAGGGCAGGGACTATGCCCCACTCCTCACTGCATCCATAGGCCCCAGTGCTGCTTGTGACAATTTCAACAATTGTCTGCTTGTTTCAGCTGATTTTAAGATTAAGGCTCTGAGTCTCCTTCCATTAGCTGTTTCTTGAAGTCGCTCCCTTCTCACCTTCTCACTGGCCTTGACTTAGAGCCCCACTGTAGTGAAGCCTGTACCAGGAATGGGACACAGGAAGGCCCAGACCTAGGTGTCTACGCCCAGCCCATCTGGAAGCACATTACCATTTCCTTATCAACACCATCCATGCTCTCCAGCCTCCTGATATTCAGCCTATTGAGAGTTCCAGTGGAAGGCACAGCATTCCAAGTCTTTGTGATTTTCTTCCAGAGTTCCATGACATAGCAGGTGCCTAGACTGATCCATTTTATGATCCTGGTGGGCAGGAAGGTAAGGGAGGCCTACCGGGTGATACATAGCTTCCAGTGGGAAGTCTACAGGTTGTCTAGCCAGCAGGGGTTGGGTTACAGTCATTACTGAGGGAGTAAAGCATTTTAAGTCAAAGGGTAGGAAAAGGGTAAAAATGGAAGGCAGAGTCAAAAAACAAAGGTTGGGGTCAGGGCAACCAAGAGAGAAACAGGGCCAACTTTGAGAAGCATGTGAAGGCTAGTGGTTCTGGGTCAAGCCTGTGAACAGAGCGAACTCCATATCTAACTTATGCTACATCTGGGCTAAATACACATCTCTCCAAAAAACCCGGAGCTCCTCAAGGGGCGGGACCATATACCCTATACCCTTCGTCTCTGTGTCCCCTTTATTACAGAATGAATCGCAACTCCTTTCAGGAAGTCAGTACTTAACGGAAGAGTTCTCTCCCCGAGGTGCTTGAAATTGATGATACTATACTGCTACTAATAAAAATAGATATCATTTGTTGAGCTCTTACCAGGTACCGGGCACTGTGTTAAATATTTTACATCCATCATCTCAAAGACCGTCAGATCCCCGAGAGCAGGAACCGAAATCTGCTTCGTCTCACCATTCTATCCCCAGGGCCTAGCACAAGCCTGACACATAGAAGATGTTAATAGATATTTATTGAATAAACAGGTAATCCTGCCTGTTATTCCTCTTTTACAGATAAAGAGCTGAATCTCAAACGGGCTAAGTAGCTAAGATTATTCAGCCAGTGGGATAAGGAAGCCAAGATTTGAACTCAGGCCCATCTGACCCCAGAGTCCATGGATTTAGCTCTGCTCTGCTGTCACTGCCATTATCTTGCCCTGGGAACCAGCATCATGGGCACTTGTTGGAAATGCAGAATCTCAGCTGCATCCCAGTCCTATTGAATCGGAATCCACATAGTAACAGGATGCTGGGTGACTCAGATATACATTAGAGTGGGAGAAGCTCTGACTCGGGAGGCATTCCAGGCCCACAGTCACTCAGGGGGTCTGTGTCATTGGCTCGATCAAACTACACTTTGCTATTGGGTCCTTTGTCCTTTGCTACGAGACTGCTGAATGCTGGAGGTGTTGGCCATAGCCTTTAAATCAACTGATTACCACCTCAGGATCAAAAGCATATTTTTATCTTTTAAATCTTGTTATATGTCCATCAGGTTTCTACTACCCCAAGCAACTCACTCATGAGAACGGAGGCAGGGTTTTCTAGCCAGTGGCCTTGCCTCTGAATGGGACCATCTCAGATGAGGTCTCATTCCCACAGGGGCCCTTCTTGATTCCTTGCCTGTCTGCGTCTAATTATGGAGGTTGTGGATTCTCAGCCTGGTCTCTTTTTGTTATGAAGAGATGATTTAATTTGTAAACAATTGCCCAGTGATTTAAGAGGCTCTGCTTGTTTATGTTTTGAAGCTTATGAGTTTGGTCTTCTGAAACAGCATAATAAATTGCTTCATCTATCAGAAAAAGCAGAGGCTTATTTCACTCAAGCATCCCTGTGCCCCCTTCTCTCTGATCAAGACCTCTCAGGTCCTGGGGCCATCAATCCCAAAGTGTCTCTAGCCTCTCCTACAAGCTTGTATGGTGCCCTTTTTCAAGAATTCAAGTTAGGGATTTGCTCCAGACTTGTCTGATTTCTGCTTATGGGCCTATCTAAATCAATAGTTCTTAACCTTGATTTAGAACTGAGATGGGCTCTGTGAGGTGAACTTGAAGGCCTGTGATCACCCAGCAATTGTATGTAAAATTTGGTGCATTTCCTATGGTGGGGTGAGGAGATGCCAATAATCCTCTTTATTTCAGCCGGGTGCGGTAGCTCACACCTGCAATTCAAGCACTTTGGAGGCCAAGGCGGGCGGATCACCTGAGGTCGGGAGTTCAAGATCAGCCTGACCAACATGGTGAAACCCCGTCTTAAAAAAAAAAAAAAAGAAAGAAAGAAAAGGAAAAAATAATTCTCTCAATTTCTCAGTGGTGTCTATTACTTCTAAGGGAACTTTCCTGCTTTTACTCGTCTCTCCTGCCTCTGAACTTTCAGGAGCTACATCTGTTTCTTTAATTGTATTCAAGTTGCTTAGGTTATATGTTTGCTAGACTGTAAGCTCTGTGCAAGTCAGGATGATAGCCGGTGCTATTCACACCAGAGCTTCCACCCTTTCAAGTGCAAAGCGCATTAGCCTCCTTGCGCCAACACACACCAAAGGAATTGTAATTTTGTGTATTATTTGTAGATAATGCTTGATGCATAGACTACTTCCCAGACCACTTAACAAAAATTCTAGTCCCTCCGCTCTGGGAATCTGTAGCTCACAGGTTAAGATGTTGATTATAGGTAAGAAGAAAGGAAACATCCTTAGATATTAACAAATCTAACACTCCATTTTACAGATGAGGACACTAAAGCCTAGAGAAGGGAAGTGATTTGCCCAGGATCACACGAACAGTGCCTATCAGAGCTGGAGCTGGAAACCAAGTATTCGGACTCCTCTAATTCCATGTCTGTCCTTCATACCCTCTTTGTAGCTCCAGCTACACAGATATTCTCAAGTAGAAAAGTTAACTATCGGGTACTGTGCTTAATACCTGGGTGATGAAACTAATCTGTACAACAAACTCCCATGATGCAAGTTTACCTATGTAACAGTCACATGTATCCCCGAAATGAAAATAAAAGTTAAACAAAAAGAAGTGTTTGTGAAATCAATGCATGAATACTGGGAAGGGTGAAAAGCTATTTAAAAGCCTGAATATGCCTAAAGATTCGAAGTTTTTGGCTGGGCGTGATGGCTCACACCTGTAATCTCAGCACTTTGGGAAGCCAAGGTGGGTGGATCTCTTGAGGTCAGGAGTTCGAGACCAGCCTGGGCTAAATGGCAAAAGCACATTTCTACTAAAAATATAAAAACTAGCCAGGTGTGGTGGTGTGTGCTTATAATCCCAGCTACTTGGGAGGCTAAGGCACAAGAATTGCTTGAACCCAGGAGGTGAAGGTTGCAGTGAGCTGAGATTGCACCACTGCCCTCCAGCCTGGGTGACAGTGCGAGACTCTGTCTCAAAAAAAAAAAAAAAAAAAAAAAAAAGGCCGGGCGCGGTGGCTCAAGCCTGTAATCCCAGCACTTTGGGAGGCCGAGGCGGGTGGATCACGAGGTCAAGAGATCGAGACCATTCTGGTCAACATGGTGAAACCCCATCTCTCCTAAAAATACAAAAAAAAAATTAGCTGGGCATGGTGGCACGTGCCTGTAATCCCAGCTACTCGGGAGGCTGAGGCAGGAGAATTGCCTGAACCCAGGAGGCGGAGGTTGCGGTGAGCCGAGATCGCGCCATTGCACTCCAGCCTGGGTAACAAGAGCAAAACTCCGTCTCAAAAAAAAGAAAGAAAGAAAGAAAGAAAATTTTCTCTAGATAACTAAAATAAGTTAATGGAGCCTTGTTGTACTCTCTGCCCCCGGCCCCAGGCTCTGGCTGATGCTGCAGTTTGAGCCTGAAGGAAAAGAAAGAAGGAGGCTTCTCTCCTTGGAGCCTAAAGTCAAGGAGCATTAATTTGATTGCATTTGACTTCAACTTCAGTTTTCTAGTAAGAAGGCTTATCATACTGCCCAGTTCAAGCATATGTGTATTTATTTGATCATTATTTATTGAGCAACTTTATGCATTGAGCACTCTACAGATGTGAGGGTTAGTAAATTACACATAACCCCTGTCCTCTGGTTGCCAACAGTTTATGGGATAAGGGCTACACGCTGTACACATAGGCCATGGAGCCAACGGTCCCTATTCTCCTGATTCCAAGCATGACAGGGTCTTCATTGAGCAGTTTAGTTTAAGCAGCCACGGTCATTTCCTTTCCATGGTGTGCACTACTACATCTGCCATTCCCAACGCCAGGACTGGAAGGAGCTTGGAGGTCATGCAATTCAATCCCTTTATTTCACATGGGGAAACTGACGCCCATAGCAGCCAATCGGAGAGTCCGGGGCTGAGCCAGGACTATCACCTGGGTTTTGGAGGTGGGTTCTGAGGGCTGGATCAAGCCATGGGAAGAGAGGAGGACATTGTAGGGGAAGGCAAGAGCAAGAGCAAAGCCTGGAGGTGGGACTCTGCGTGGGGCGACGGGAGCAAGGGAAAGGCAGCCTTGGTTCCTGGTACGTTGTTCTCGAGTCAGACAAAGAAAGGCTGTCTTTGATGGGAGGCCGATGTCACTATCACAGAAGCCACCAGGCCAGCTTCAGAAACTGAGCTCAGTCCAAGGACTGATGCTGCCCGCAGGTACCAGGGTGCCTGGGAGGAAGGAAAAAGAAATATTGTTATCAAATATATGGAGTACTTCTGTGTACCAAAACGTTTCTGTATGTTGCCCCTGTCAATGAGAAAATTGTTGCTCATCTCACCCCTTCTCAAAGAATCGTGAGGACCAAATAATCACCACTGGTATCATGATAATAGCAGCAGTCATTTATTTGGGTGCAAACATGTGCTGAAGATAGAGTTGTGAGCCAGCAAGCATTCTTATACCCTACTCCTCACAGAGATAGTCAGAGCCAGTGTGTGCTCCCTGATTGTACAGTGAGGATACTGGCCTGCAGAGGAAAAGGGCCTTGTTCAAGGTCACACAGTGGGCCAGCAGCAGGTGGGATTAAAACCTGGGTTCTCCTGCCCACAGGTCACATCCTAGCCTGATACCACCCTGGCTCTGCAGCCAGACCCAGAGAGGATGAGTCCAGCCTTGAACCTCCACAGGTACACTGAGTTCTTCCAACAGGCTCTTCCTGCAGACCCCCACTCCTGACTCTGGGGGACAGCACCCCTAGATCTGTGTCTGCTCTGTCTGCGTCAAAAACAAAGGCATCACTTACAGGCCCAGCTGTCACCAGACCTGCACTAAAGCAAGGCATTTCAGTCCAGCAGGGGCCTGTCAGCAGCGCCAGAATCTCTGGTGTCTCTGTTAGTCTCCAGGTGATGGGCCTCGGGGGGGTTTCTGGTCTGCCTCTTCTTATCCAGGGGAAAAACAGCAGAGGGAAGCCTCAGGCCTAAATCTGAGGGACTGCTTTTGCAATAATGCAAAGCTCTTCCAAGCTCAAGGAGCAGAAACCAACTGAACTCTCTGGACAACGTTTGCGTGGCCTGAGAGGCAAGAGTTTAGGTTCTTTTACCAAGTAGCAGAACAAGGAGTTTTACACTAGGTAAACCTAGGGCGGGGACATGCCCCACAGTGAGCCTAGGTGGTGCCCAGGTACAGCACTGAGCAACATGGAACCGCTTCATGAGAAAGAGATGCAGAGTTCAGTTATATTTTCAATCCTTCTCATTATACCGTTTCAATTTGATGCTAACATGTCTTTAATACCTCTCTAAACCTTGCACGTGTGTGTGTGTGTGTGTGTGTGTGTGTGTGTGTGTATTAAAACTTTTTTTAAAGAGCAAGCCTTGGGCTTGGAGCCTTTGGCAAGCAAGAGTATCTAGTTAGAATTTAATAGCATTGTTTTTATTGTATTTATTTTTACTTTTAGCTCCTATTTATGGCAGGTGAGATTGGTTTTCCATTTGCAATAATGATATAAAGTTTCCATTTTAAAGACATTTATTTAAGTTAAAAAAGTGTCTATTTAAAGAAAAAATACTAAATGAATAATAATACAGGTGGTATGCAGACACAGTCTATGTGCTAAAGGTGGAACAGGAACGAGCGAAATCTGGGAAACTCTGACATATGCAATCATGGAATGAAAAAAGTCATCTACTCTGAGAATCAAAGACCATTGAATTTTAGAAACTGGGGCCTCTGGAATCCCAGAGCACAGAATCTTAGCACCATAAATCCTAAAACGAACAACATAATCTATGAGATGCCATAAAACATAGTCTCTCACAAAATATTAGCATGTGGGAGAGAAAGCCTTGGAGCCATCTGTCAGTTCAATTCCCTCTTTTTGATGTGAAGAAACTGAGGCCCCAAGAGGTTTAGGACAGAATGAAATAACATATATGAAAGAGCCTCGTGAAACATAATGTGTTCTTTAAATATTGGGATATTTGTAAAGGGCCCCCCAAAGTCACAGGGCTTTCCAGCAGAGATCTGGGACTGAGATCAGCGTTCTTGATGCCTGTCCCTGCAGATGGTACTTTCTTAGGCCCCCTCAGAGATGGCGAGGCCCTCGAGCCTCAGGCCTGGCCTCTGCTGGAGCTGGGAGCAAATCTGTGGACGGCTGGCCTGCTGGGCTCCCTCCAGAGACGAGAGCAGAGGCCACGTTCAGGGGTCGTGGGCAGAGGGCACGGTGCAATGCTGTGTGGAGGGGTTGGGGCATATTTAGTTTTCTCCATCCTCGGAGCTATACAGTTGTCACCTGTAAAACCAGTGTGGCCTCCAAGGGAAAATCCACTCTATGACTTGAACTCAGCTTTTTTCGTTTGCTGAGGCCTCAGTTTCTCCTTCTGTCTAATAGACAGACACCTAAACACTCTTCCTGTCCCTCAGGGCTGCAAGTGGATTTCTGGGGTCTTATCTGTAAAGAGAGTAGGGCTTCATTCCATGAAGTCTTGGAGAGTCTCAATGGGGTCCTTGACATTAAGGAAGGCAAGGTCTTGAGAACTATTGAGGTGGTAAAGGGAAACGAAATCCATCACCCAGCTGGGAAAGAACCCTATCTCCCTGCTTCTGCAAGCATGGACTTCATTTCTTCATGTTCCTGGAATTTACGGGCCCTCCTTGGCCTGGGGGCGGCTTCCCTGGAAATTGGGACTCCAGGGTGTGGTTCTAAGTTGGGCCATGTGGTTAGGTCAGAGGTGCTGTTCTGATCTGGTATTTCTGGGTACCCAGCTTCTAGAAATGCCCACCTAGCCACAGGCACAAAGTGTGGCCCCATCAGGGTCCAGGCCTTCATCACACCACAAGGAGAGAGAGGCCTCTGGAGGGGGGTGGGGTTCGCGGGGCTGCGGGCAGGGGTGGGGGGCAACAATTTCCTCCAACCTCAGGCACAGTGCCCTTCCTTCTGGTGATCACATTGAAGAGGATTCCTTCAATGAAGTCTCCAGGATGTACAAGACCACAGAATTGCCCCTTTTTTTTGTGGCTAGCACTTTGTCTGCCAGGCCCAAATTTTCACAGCCACCTCTGAAGTGTGTTCTCTCTCCCTGTCCCCCAAGAACTGTTTCATGTGGCTGCTGGGAGGGGAAATACCAGGGGTAGTTGCTTCTCTCTAGCTGCCTGGCTGGGACTGTAGCAGCCCTCTCTTCCTGAGGTCGCCCGCAGCCCACCTTCTGGGTGCCAGGAGCCCTGGGTGTTCAGTGATGTGGATTCCTGTACAAGTTCCAGGTGGCCCCACAGCAGTCCCTACCAACACAACTGACGCTTCCCTGACACCATTCTCCAGACAGGCGCCTGGGGAGGAGGAGAAAAAAGACCACTTCTCTTCACCGGCCCTCAAAAGCATCTAAGCCATTCTCTCCGCATTAATCATGGAAAAGACACCGTGCCCCAGCCTGGGAGGGAGAAAGCGCCTTTTTCATCTGTCTCAACACAAAGTTCAGTCCTGGCTAACCTCTCACTCCTGACAGCTGTCCCACCATCTCTGACCCATCTCACCTTCTTCCACCCACACCTTCAAAGGGTAACAGGATTA